CAGCTGTGTTTTAGAGTTTTTAGTGTACAGATTTCTCATGTATTTTGTAAAATTTTTTACTGTTTCATGTTTTTATTCTATTATTATAATTTTTAAAGTTAAAATTTTCGGTTTACTGCAAGGAAAGGGAGGAGCATACCTTAGCATACAAGAGTACCTGCATGATCAATGTTTATATACCTAACCCTGATATGTACCCCACATCTTTATAATAAAGATTTTTTAAAAATGCAAAATAGGACAAATACAGAAGAAAAATAAATAAATAAAATACTAAAAAAATAAAAAATAAATTTTTAGTTGTTCATTAGTAGTAAGTAGAAATGTCACTGGTTTTTTAATATTGATTTCTATCCTCTGACCTTCCTAAACTCTTTTATTAGTTCTAGTAGCATTTTTTAATTTCACAGAATGCTTACATTGATTATGCTATCTTTGAATAATGACAACATTACTTTTTCATTTCCGATCTGATTTTTTTTTTTTTTTTTTGCCATTTTGTGCTGATTAGAACGTCCAGTACAATGTGAATAGAAGAGATAGGAGTGGATATTTTTGTATTCCTTTTGATCTTGGGAGAAAAAACTTCACTGTCTCACCATTAAGTACGATGCTAGCTATCTGGGGCTTTTAAAACAAATTATTTATCAGATTCAGTAAGTTGTCTTCTATTCCTCATTTACTGATAGTTTTAACTATAAATGGGTGTTAAATTTTATCAGATGCCTTTTTGAAGGATTTCCCTCCCCCATTTTACCTAAATGTTTTCTGTGCATTTTAGATACTCCTTAAATATTTGTTGAATGAACAAAGCTGGGCTAAACATTTCTGAGAGTATAAGACCATACTGCAGCCATACAGGATCATGAGATGGGCTAGGGGGCTGAAGAGTGTTTGAATGTCTACTCTGTTCCAGGAGTGCTAGATTTACCCTTGCTATTTCATGCAATTTTCACAACAGTCCTGAGAAATAAGTATCACCATTTTACAAATGAAGAATGAGTAATAGATGGAATGATATAAAAAATATAACGTGGTTAGGCTGCAGGGAAGTTCTATGTTTCATTACCTAATAGAAATAAAAAAGGCAATCATAAAGTTCAGGGAAAAAATATTTAAAGGAGGCTGCTTGCAAATATGATACAAGCTTAAATGGAGTGTGATTCAGCCATTTTACAGAGTGAAATAATAAAGAATCCAGTTGCTCTGCAGGCAAGGAATGACCATTGTCCTTGCAATGACCATTAGACCACTAAGGAGAAAAAGTAATTCTTATACAATACTTGGCTCATCCATGAATGATATCTTCATAGTGAAAGTAATGTAAATTTGAGTTATTGATTTACAACCCTGAGGATTTGATCTATAGACAAAGGATGGAAGACTTTACTTTGTTTATTTATTTTTTATTTTTTTGAGTTGGAGTCTCACTCTGTCGCCCAGACTGGAGTGCCATGGCCACTCCCGGCCACCGCAGCCTTGACCTGCTGGGCTCCGGCGATCCTTCCGCCGCAGCCTTCCAAGTAGCCGAAATTACAGGCATGCGCTACCACGCCCAGTTGATTTTTTGATTTATTGTAGAGATGAGGTCTCGCCTGCAGGTGGGTCTCAAACCCGTGGGCTCAGGCAATCCACTCACCTCGGCCTCCCAAAGACACGGAATTACAGGCTGAGCCACCGAGCCTGGCTGACTTTACTTTGTTTAAACATCAAAATACAAATGTTTATCAACCTTGGCAAGGATCTGAATGTGGGACAAAAGTGAGAAAATTTTAGCATTCTTATTTTCCAAATTGGGAACAGCTAAATCCCTCTAAGCCTCAGTTCCTCACCTGCAAAATGAGAACTAAAATGTGTCCCACAATGTTTGTTGTAGGGATGAATGAATGTATATAAAATGCCCAAAATGTGATAGGTACCCAATTTACTGAAGCAATGGTAGAAGGGAGGAAAGGGAGGCGGGTCTGTTGGCAGAAGGAAATCAACACATCTCTTTCACTAATGAAGGACAAATCTCTACTCTAAGGTCGGTCTATAAACCACCTCTCCTGCAAACACTGTCACTGCCCTGAAAGCAAGGTGGTGAGTCTGAGTAAAGAAAGGACAAGGGTTGTGTGTCCAGCACAGGACTCCTGAATGACAGAACAACCCTGTAAGTACTGTCATCATTCTTATTTTACAGTGGTGGGAATTAAAACTCTGAGAGGCCACCTGACTCACCTCGGACCAGTCAGAGCCGAAACCAGGAACAGTGACTCCAGATTCCGTTGCCTGCCCCGAGACTACCTGATTTAGACCATTTGGAGGGGCACAATGAATCTGAAACACTGGGTGAGCTCCTGGCGTATGCTCTGGATACAGTTCTAATGAATAGGCCCCTAGGTTTAATTAAGGGGGTAAAAAAAGATTAATTGTTTCTCCCAACAGCTGCAAATTATTTACATTGCATTTGTGTCAATGGCTAATAAAAGAGCAAAGGAGTGTGGGGACAGCCCAGGGTGGCTGTAATTCTTCCAGGGTCTCTAATGAAGCATCGGTCTGAGTGCCAACACATGAGAATGGATGTGCTGCTGCCCTGTTCACACCTGCAGTGGGAAGAGTCAGTCTAGGGCCTAGGTATGATCCAGTCTGCAGAAATGACTCCAGGAGCCAAGACCTGAGAATAGCAAAGCACATGCCCCACTTGTCTGCTTCTCAGTTAGTTCACAGTTGATGTGGGGCGGGTCAGAAGGAGCAAAATGGCAGCACAGGTTGAGGCGACCACCAGTTTCAGAATAGCTCCTACCTGACCTTTTGAAGATGATGGGGTGGGATGAGAACAGGAGCCTCTGTATCAGAGCTGTTCTCTGTTCTAAAAGCTCTCGCTTTGCCATGGCTATTAAAAAACTGTAATCTGCAGGTGCAGTGACTCACTCCTATGATCCCAGCACTTTGGGAGGTGGAAGCAAAAAGGATTGCCTGATCTCAGGGATTCGAGACCAGCCTGGGCAACTTAGCAAAACCCTGTCTCAACTATAAATAAAAATATTAGCCGGGCATGGTGGCACATGCTTGTAGTCCCAACTATTGGAAGGCTGAGGCAGAAGGATCGCCGAGCCTAGGAGGTTGAGGCTGTGGTAGCCATGATTGTGCCACTGCACTCCGGCCTGGGTAACAGAGTGAGAATCCAACTCAAAAAACAAAACAAAACCAAAATAACTGTAATCTACAAAATATATGCAGTATAATGTATATTGTATATATATATTATTATGTGCATGTTTGTGCATGTACCTTTTGGATGTCACAAAGTATGAACGAATTTCTGGTTTTCCCACTTATTAGTTTTCAACCCTGTGTTTGCCTTGGGAAAGTCAAATCTCATAGAAGTAGTTTCTTCATCTTTATAATGATCACTCTTACCTTTCAGGTTGTTGTGGGGCGCACTGTGTATGTGAACATACCTTTTTAAACTGTGAAGCAGGGCATGAGGGTTGGCATTAGAACTACTTTGGTTATTCTAGGGCTCCTTCTAGCCTGTTCTTTGTTTCTAAAGCACCTATTCTGCACCCAGACTTCTGTGAGGGTAATAGAGGACAACAAAAAGAGAAACAAGGCAGCTCACAGTTGAGTAATTGGATTAATATTTTAGAGAGATCACTCTTGATACCACCAGTGCATGGAAGAGACTGGAGTGGAACAAGATTTCTGATGGGGAGACCAACCAGGAGGCCATTGCAGCTGTCCAGATAGGAGTCATCTGGGCAGAACCACATCAGACAAGATATATTCAGGAGAAGGAATTGACAGAAACTGGATGTTCACCAGATGGGATTCTCTTACAGGAATCTTACCCAGATCCTGGCACAAGTCTTATTTCAGTTCTCTACCATTTATTAGTACATGTATTCATTTGCTAGGGCTGCTGTAAGAAACTACCACAAACTGGATACCTGAGAACAGAGGTGTACTGTCTTACATTTCTAGAGGCCAGAAGTCTGAAATCAAGGTGTTGGCAGGATCATGCTCCCTTTGAAGGCTCCAGGGTAGGATCTGTTGCAGGCCTCTCTCCTTGTTTCTGTTAGGTCCAAGGCCTGTGGCAGAAAAACTCTAGTCTTCTCATGGTATTCACCCTGCATGCCTGTCTGTGCTACAATTTCCCCTACTTGTAAGGACACCAGTCATATTGGATGAGAATCCATCCTAATGACCTCTTTTTTAACTTGAACACCTCTATAACGATCCTCTCCCCAAATACAGTCACTTTTTGAGGTACTGGGGTTCAGGATTCTAACCTATCTTTTTTAGGGGAGACACAATTCAGCCTGTAACATATATTTGATGTATATTTTAAGTGTGTTAATTGTTTATTAGATAATCTGTCATTCAGCTAGCCAAATTTTTGAAGAACAGCTTAAGTTGCTAGATAATTTTGACTATTTAGGTAGATACAGTCTTTAAGTGTTCAGAAAACATTCAAATATTTGTTGCATCTTTACATATATAGGTATATATATATATATATATGTATATAAAATGCTATAATTGCTCTTAATGGGGGATCACATCAGGTTGGGATCAGAAATTCCAGCATACACAGACCTAACTGCTAGCTTATTCACTGGTAGTGGACCTTCACTCGGAAACATATATTAATAAATAGTAGCATTTGGGAATTAAAGCTTTCAATCAACTCTTAAGAATATCTATCTCTGCTAGGCATTCAGAAATAGAAATAATGGGATTTTGGTGAGGTGTAGGACCCATAGTCCTAGAGACAAAAAACCATGTTTGCATATCAGTGCTGTCCCTCACCTTTTGTGTCTTGATGACCTGTTGAACCACTCTCTGTACTTCTCTGAAGCTTCTCTGGGTTTCAAATGGGATTAACATACTCTGTGCCCCTCATAGGATTGTTGCATGAAAGCCTACAGTTGAGCAAATGTATCCTATTCATAATATTATTATGGACTAGTTATTCAGATGATGATCTTTTTGTTTGTGTTTCTTTTGTTTTCTAGTCAACAAGCACAAGCCATGGATCGAGACTTCGTATCATGGAGTCATAACAGAGAATAATGACACAGTCATTTTGGACCCACCACTGGTAGCCCTGGATAAAGATGCACCAATTCCTTTTGCAGGTGAGATGGCAGCTTAGTATGGCTGCTATTGGTTTGCTTTGGAGACATGTTGGGAAACCTCCACAGAGCCCAGCCTAGGGCTTTATAGCTGTTATCGTCACCTTGTGCACCTCGTGGATTAACCTGTGATTTTATAGTTGTATGCCTCTTCTTATTTCTGGGGTGGATTCTAGCTCTCCTTGTATTTTAAATTGCTGCTACTGTTGTTGTTTTCTTCATGTGACCTCTAATGCAAGACCCTCATTTTTTCTTCTGAGGGATGGTAATTGCTGAAGTGGCCTCTGGAGTTGGAGAAGTTGGATTACTAAGGTTCTTAGGAGAATTATCCCCCTGGTGTGATGATTCATAGCTATGATAGTAAGGTGTGTGACCCACTGTCCCCACAACCCACACATCATGGTTAGGTGGAGACTTATAGCTTATTAAATTGGCAAGAGAGAAGGGAAAGAAGAAAGGACCAGGAAACAACTGCTAAGGATGAGACAGGGTACTGCCCTTGAGTTTCCAAGTGAGTTTTGCTCTTGCAGGGGGAGGAATCCGAAGGCTGTGTCATTTTGCCCTCTACAAGTCATAGCTAGACAGCCTTCTCATTGTCACCAAAACTACCCCTGCTTCTTCCTCTGAAGAGGGTGAGTGAGAAGGGGTGAATGAGAACTACTGCTATGTCATGTGCTTTCATGGATTTTGGCAAAGAGAAGGGACGAGTGATAGGAGAAGAAGGAGGGATTAGACAAAGGATTTCTGAAGATGCCTGAATCATGAGTAATATTGTTAACATTTTATAACTGTCAGGAGAAAGACAGGAAATTTAATGAAGGTTTTCAAGATTTCTAGAAGATTGCTTTATGATAGATGGGTGCCAGGCTGAGGTTTTCACCGTGATGAAGTCTATTTTTTCTGACAGTTTGCTACATTATGAGCTACTTGGGCAGAAAAAATGGGCTTTTCTGCACTTCTAAGAGATAAGGCTCTCTTAGAAGTGAAGGCTCTTTTTTCATTATGGAATATTATAAAGTAAGGAGTGAGCAGGTGTGTTAGATGGGGGAAATTCCGCATTATGTGAAGATAAACCCATAAGCGTTCTTGCAGAGCGTGGGGAAGATACTCCTAACTCTCAGAAGAAGGTTTTATCTTTATTATTATTATTTTTTTTTTTGTAGAATGATAACCGCCGAGGGTACCTGTGACTTCTATGGTGTTTAGAGTTGGGACATTTTGATATATCTTCTAACTACCCTAAGAGGTCCCAGTTCAACCAAATGGAAATGTAAGCCTCATGCTGTCTTTTCCACAAAACATGAGGTATCTTCCCTAAATCTTCTTTGCCAGCCTAGAAAGACTCCAACACATTCTTGTCTTGGACATAGCTAGTGTGGCATTGGGCTTAATTAGCAATTGTAAACATCAGCAAACATGTCTGGGTCATGAAAATGATTGGTTTGGCATGTACTTGAAAAAACAGAGAAAATACTTAGAAATTGGGAACTTTATCATAAAAAATGCAGGATTCTGGTTTATCATGAATCAGATCTCAGCTACAGAGCTGAGTGGCCACTTCCCTTCTCACACCAGTGTGTGCCCTGACTTCCTCAGCGTATTTTCCCACAGCCTGTGTGCTCAGCCCCTTCCACAAAGCAGGTCCTCTCACTCACCTTTCCATCCAGTATGTGACCCCTCTTTTAAATATAATAGAGAAAACAAATGGCAAATTAAATGGAAAGTAAATGGATGTCATTAAGTCACTTCAGTGTGATGAGGCTAACACTTCAAAAGATGAAGAATGTGTCTGATCATTCATTTTGTCTGCCTCTGATGTAGCCCTGTTTTCTTCCAGTAGTGGGTTTGGAAACTGAAGCCACTGAGTAAGTCATTCTACAATCAAATTATAAGATCTCTAATGTATAGACCAGAACAGAAAAAATTCAATTCAAGCAAATCTGATATTTGAAAGTTTGGGTTTATAAAGGATTACTTAAGTTGTGGGGCTGAAGGAAAATTAAACGTTTCATTTGAAGATTCAGCAAAGGATTTCCTTTCATCATAAGCCTATCAAATGCCTAAACTTGAATTTATATTCTGACCATTGGATGCACCCACAAGTATTCAGGCACACCTTGAAACTAAGGTTTGCTTCTAAGTCAAGTCCTGAGTACTTATTTCCATCTGAAGACAATGTCTATACTCTTCCTATTTTTTGCAACTGCCTTAAAAAAAAAAAAGCCTAACTTAATGCATCAAAATATAATCCTCCGAGCTCCTAAGAGTAAAAAATAAAGGTGCTTTTCAGAATGACCAAAGCTATTTTTCTCAGTGTTATTTATGATCAGCTCTAAGACAGGACACAGGCACTACCATCCATCCATGCTGCGGGCGTTTATTTTAAAACATTTATCTTAAAAAGAAAATACTGAAGATTTATTTCAGATCCCTATCATTCTCATAAAATTGAAAAATTCATATCTGCCAACTCCATCACTCCTCGAAGTCAACTGAAGCTTTTAGTCCCCCCTTATCAACTGCTCTTGTATGGCATGTCAGTTTTTCCACCCTTTTCCCAGTAGTCTTTATTTCCAGTTTAGCCTGTGAAGTGAGTTATAAGCTTTGTGAAAGACAGTTCCATCCATACCATTTGTGCTCTTGTCTTGCTCCTCTTATCTTTCTCCTCCTTAATTTTTTTATAAGAAAAATTTTCTACACACAGATTCTGCCAAAATATCTTTCAAAATTATATGCAATCTTAAGAGTTTTTTTCATTTAAATAAAAAATCATGACTGCATTTTGTATGCAAATGCAAAATTTAGGGATATAAAATCGCTTTTGTGGTATATCTCCTGATTATGACCAGTCTTTTCATAGTTGTAGAAACTGTGGAAAATATAATGAAATATACACAAAAAGCATGAAGCATACATTTTCATACTCCAGAGTGAGCCTCTTTTAACATTTTAGTATATATCCTTCCAGTCATTTTTCTACTCTTTTTCCCCCAGAAATTATCATACATCTTAATGCTATAATGTATTTTTTTCCATTAAAGTCATGAAAATAAGTCTTTTTTAAAAATGTTCTTCTGTACCTGATTAAATGGCATGGTTTTCTACATAATGAATACTCTAGAGTTTGCCATTCTCTGTTTGGCAATTTGTCTATTCTCAACTCTTTTTAATTATAACATGTTCCGTATTTCAGATTCTATCTTTTGGATGGATTTTCAAATTGGAATTAATTGATCAAGGGTCTTAAAGTTCCTGAAATATGTTAAACTGTTCTTTAGAAAAGTTATATGAGTTTGCAGTCCCGTTCACACTGCATGTGTCTCTCAGTACCTGGCCCTTGGAAGGCTCATTCTAATGGTGTGATTTAGTGACAATATAATGGAATGACTGTTTACAGTAGCCTAGTAATATCATCATTTGTAAAATAATATGAGCTTTCTAGGGATGTTGTTGTGATGCAGTTTAAAGAATGTCTATAGCAGATATTGTAATGTTTTGAGATATAGTAGATATTTAATATATTTGAGTTTCCTATTCCAGACCTTCCTCCCTGCAAATTTCACAGGGGAGAGAACTAACAGAGAGGTTAAACAAACTGCTCAGCCTCCCAGAGCAGGCCAGCATGGAGCCAGGGATTCTCACCACTGGCTCTGAGTTTCTTTCCCTGATATATTGGCTTTTGATCCCTGCCCTAGCTGATTAGTAAAGTGCTGATGCTCAGTCAATGAAACCTCCCTCAGACTTCAGTCAAGTCCATTAGACTTGACTCAATTCTCAACCCAGTGTCTGAGCTCTGTAGATTTGACCTTCTTAGAGAATCAGAGACAGTAAAATCCTTGAGCAATAATGAAAACCTTGTCCACTGCATGGCAAAAAATGATAATGAAAGCAAACTGGACACACCGTGAGCTTATTAATTTTTACCTGTGCCCCACTGAGGCCTGATAGGAAACTGTAGAGACTTTTACATTTGAAGGGAATTAGATTGCCTTTCAGAGATGATAGAACTGCTCATTTGTCTACATTGGGCCAGTCCGGACCTGTCTTTTAAAAGGACAGGGCTGCAGAGAATGATCAGGCATAATTGGCTGACTTCTCGGGCTGGGTGACTCTCTGAAGGCTGCCCAGAAAATTGCCTGGGACGTGATTTGGCCTGGTTTGATTAGCTGGTTACAGTGTTCGTTGCCGCTGGGAATGCTCTTTCCCACATGGTTAACTCTTGTTTGTCTTTCCTTCTTTTCTGTTCAGTGTCTACCAGTCTGTCTGCCTCCTTATCTTTGACCTGCCCCGGGGCCTTATTCATGCCCTGTGTACTGTAAAGTGCCTGATGGCAAAGACTTTTCCAGAGGGCTAGGAATAGTCACGGTTCTTATGAGAAAGAAAGGCAGAGGTGAACAGTCACAGACTTTGAGCCAAACACTTGTAGTTTTACATTTAATCTTTGCTATTTACTAGCTGTATGATCTCAGACAAGTCACTGAACTCTGAGGGACAGATTCCTTATATTTAAAATGGGAGTAATCATAGTATCTACTCCTGGTTTTAAAACGGTAGATTAAGTAAGGTACTAATGAAAAGTGCCTAGAGCCCTCTTTGGTAGCCAGTAGATACCCAACAAATTATAGTTCCAATAATCATAGCAATGGTAATAATGAAGATAATCAGAGTAATCGCAATTCTTATTATATCAATAAGCCACAAGTGTTTGATTCATTTTAGGTTGATTACAATGGTGCAATTATAATCTGTGATGATAATGTTTAAAGAAAGAGATAAAATTACACTTGGAATTTGTTTTAAAGCTTGCTATGGTCACCCACTTGTACATCAAGCTATGTTGCCTGAATTATCAAGTAATGTGGTGGTGTAGGAACAATCAGTTCAATAATGTAGGAGAAAGTAGTTTGAAAATTGTGCAGAACTCTACAAATAAATATCAGTTAGTTGGGAATATACTTCCTTATAATCTACCTGTAATTTATCCCTATGGAGTAATCTATTAG